TACCTTCATCCTGCTTACCAAGCGCTCCGCAGAAGGCTAACATCTGCTAAGACCAGAGCAATAGGTCGGGCGGAGGAAGATACGCAGGGCCAACAGCCGGCAGCCACGAGCGAAGAAGATGAAACGTACACAAACGACTTAACGCGCCTCATGGAAGCGCCCTCGAGGGCGCAAGCAATTCAAACAGCCACAAAAATCGATCGACATAACCGACACCAGCGGGAGAACGGTTACCACGCTCTGACGATGGAAGCGAGGAAACCTTTGAAACGTCAGCTTAAATACAACTTGGTTCCAGGAACCACCCCTTTTTCTTCTTCTTCTTCTTCCTCTTCCGGGGAGGATGAAAGGAATATTATGTCTGGACCTCGAATTTTCGCGCGTATTAAATGTTTATATGTGCATATTCGTTAAAAATACATTCAAAACACATATTGAATTTATTAATGAGTAAACTGCGTCGCGGCTCACAGAGCTGCGAGATTCGTTAATAGGCTCGTACATTTATCTTACGAAATTAGCTAATAGTAACGTCCTTGCCATATGTACAGAAACAATGGGCTTTATTACCTCTGTACGGCCAACAAGTTATTAATCTCCAATTCGTCTGTTACTGAGCGCGGGGACAAATATAGTCAAATGCAATTCTACCTAGCAGACGTGAGATCTGCCCACAATTCAGTAGGATAGCTACAAGACTCTTACCAAGTAACTTTCTAAGCGCTAACCGAAACTAAACAGAATATCTTTAATTTGATTACTGCCTAAATTGTTGACCTTACCAACACACAGTGCAAGCCAGTTCGCAGCATAAAAAACGCCCCCAGAGAATTATATACCATTGCACTTTTCTTAACTAAACTTTCTTCAGTAGGGCAAATCTGACAGGTTTTTACTTAACCAATTCATTTCCCTAACTGTGCAACCTACTGTTCAATCGAATTCGCGGAAAACTGATTCGCTTAGATGGGCCAATCAGAGCCTGTAGATCATCAGCGCTTGAGTGCAGGAATAATGTGTGTTGGTTCAATAAAAGACAAGGCAATCCGTCACACCTGCTGTGATTACTGCACATAATGCCGCTCTCGGGAAAACAGCGATTTGAAGATAATTTTCCCCTGTGGCGCAGCTGTTCTTTACTCAACGAAATTCGCAGTGCTAAAGAAATAAAGGATATCACCATAGAAGTACGTTCCCCTGTTTCTACTGCTCTTTATATATTGCTTGCTAGGTACAGAATAAGGTCCCGATCCATATTCATAGAATAATACTAGCGGCCAGAATTCCTTCTTTGTGAACGGTTCTCCGTGATCCTGTGTACCTCCTGTGTACCTCAGAGGTAAAAATCCAATTCAACTTACTACTTCCGCATTTCCTAGTCTTGCAACTTCAATCGTTAACTATGTATATACCGGTCAATTGGACCTGACACAAGAAAACGTAAAAGGCGTAATTATGTTTTCAAGAATGGTCAACCTTCCAGTACTGGAGCATTGGGGAGTAAACTTTATGCTCAACAAGTAAATATATTCCGGTTATTCTTGTTAACCACTTTGTTGACGGTGTTGATTCCACAAACCTGGCAGTGACATGGGACTTTGCAAAGTCTTTGAATATAACCTCCTTGATGGAAACCTGCATCCCAAGAATGAAGAAAGATTTTGAAAGTTTTATACATATTGATCAATTTGTCCGCTTACCGGCCGAGACTCTGCTCGCCTTGCTTCAAAGCGATGAGTTGACAGTAATTTCCGAGGAACAAATTGTCGCAGCCATTGAACGCTGGATATGCCCTTGCGAAGAGATCGATTGTGACAACTTACGGTTACATGCTCCGGAGATGCTGAAAGAAGTGCAGTGGCATCTGACAACTCTCGAGTTCCGCAAACGCCTCCTGGAGAATTATCCGATGTTTACGAATAATCCAGAATGCGCGTGAATATATGCCCTTCCACCTCGTTATTTTATTATTTTAAAGTCGATTTATAGTTTCAGTTGAGCAGTGGATTGGTGCTGCAGACGAAGACAGGTCGGACTGTCCCTTTCATCATCGTTGTCGCAGCACTAGGTCACCTCAGGTCTTCTTTGTCTTTGGCGAAGATGCAAATAATGACCGGTGGTCCGTCCTCCGCTTCGATTCCTGTATGCAAAGTGAAGAATGGGTATTTGGCATGGAACTGCGTTATGGCGCCTCCTACAGTATCGTGGAGGGTAAGTTGACTAATATTCATGACACTAATCGTGACATGTTCATCCTTCCCCTGCAGTGAAATTCTGTCTACGTGTCTCCCTCAGCAAACGCTCTAGTGGGAAAATCCCATTCCTCACTTTAGATTTTAGCCTGACGATGGGCCGGTGTCACTTGCTCGAAAGGTCACGAGTATAACTTGATTCTTCTAAGGCATTCGTTCTTTTCGTGACCGACATCCATTTGTATGAAAATGATGTACGACATAATAGGTTAGTCAGTTGCTTGCGCTCAGCTTGGCTCAAACACCATTCGTTTACAAACCTGATAAGATTAAGAAGGCTGTATTGACTCTTTATGCTTTAAGAATATCGAATCGGCTGTGAAAAATCGACTTAGAAATCGCACTGGATCACAAGACATCAGACCCACCACAGGCGGTGCCTAACGAATATTCGTTTTATTCCGCACATCGCATTCAAGTAATCATACGCCTTCTGTGTTACCTTATCGATCTCCGCCTTGTCCTGCCTCTCAGTAATGATAGCGCTGTTCGTTTGTCACTTATGTCACCGATTATCACGAATTTCCTTAATTCGTTTCGTTTGATGTCAAACTGGCATCAATAGCTTCAGTATTCGCGGTTTGTTTTGTTCATTACGGCAGCTCCGAGTTCATAATACGCAACGTGTGCACCTAACTAGAAGTCGACTTCCTCTATATTGCATATGTATAGAGCATAATACTAGTAGAGTAAGTGTTGTGTCATGCTCAGTTTCAGTGCCAGTGTATGTGGATGATAGATCCACAGAATTTGACAGGACATAGTAAGTTCTAAACATGCTCTCACGCACAAAGGAGTTAATAAATGCGTTTGAAAATGTTACATTCATTGAAGTATTCGAACCGGGCTTCTTCGTTTTCCGCTCTTTTTGTCTGAATTCTCTTTCTACATTTCTTCAAGCTCACACAAAGTTACTTACAGTTTGTGAAGTGAATATACAAAAAGAAGTTCATCGTTTTCCTTACTCACACATCCTCTAAGCAATGCATTTTTCCATTTCCGTAGGATCTATAAGCCTCTGATTGTCAATTTCCCTAAAGCAAAATGCTCTGTACGGGCAGCCTTCTCATAGCACACGAAGTAATGCTATGGATGGGAGAATGTCACGTTATTTGTTACCAGCATACAAAAAAACAATGAGACTAGGCCACAGGAACAATCAGCAAGACATCCTGTGAATTCGGACAATTAGAAGAAAAACCCGAAAGCCGAACGGTGGCCATCCTGCCGTTTAACGAATTCCCTATTCAACATATTAATATCAGTCTCATTGACGTATCAAACGCACAGAATAAAGTTAGTGAACAATAACTGTTCTAAACGTCTTTAACAGGGCATCATGTCAATTAGACCGTATGTTGATTGGTTGAGGTGAAACACTGACGAAAAATCGTACTGTGCACCTATTTCACATATTTATATATTAAAATAATCCGTGGACCATTTACTTTTCTGATTCTGTTCTGATAAGCGCATCCCATGTCTATCGTACATTTGTTGAGGATGAAAAGAATGAGTAACCGTG